ACCTATGAACCAGGAGGTCATGGTTTGATTCCCAGCCAGGGCACATGCCTGGGTTGTGGGCTGAATCCCAGTGGGGGGCATGCAGGAGGCAGCTAATCAATGATTCTCTTCCTCTCCCTTCCTCTCTGAAATCAATCCTACATAATAAAAGGGTAATATGCAAATAGACCAAACGGGGACAACTGGTTGTGCAGGAGCTGCCCCCTGGTGGTCAGTGCACTCCCACCGCTCAGCCAGAAGCCGGATGGTGGGCGGGCAGCAGAGCTGCCCGCCTCCCCAGCAGCGCTAAGGATGTCCAGGGATGTCCAACTGTGGCTTAGGCCTGCTCCTGGGCCTAAGGGGTCAGTTGGACATCCCCTGAGGGCTCCGGGACTGCGAAAGGGGGCAGGCCGGGCTAAAGGAGCCCTCCCCCCCGCCCAAGTGCACGAATGTTGTGCACTGGGCCTCTAGTAAAAATATATTCTTTAAACAAAGAAAAAGAACCTTGCCTAAGATCTGTAGCTCCCTGAGGGGAGGAGCCCCCTGGGGGAGGTATGAATCAGGAAAGGCCTGCTCAGGACACTATCATTGCCCCAAACCCCTCACCTGCCAAAGCCTGGGTCTGCTCCTCCTCTTCCTGCTCTTGCTCAGCCTCCTCCAGGAAGTCTCTCAGCAGCTTCTCTGCTTCCAGGGCCTCAGCCCCCCGGGGGGCAGCCCAGCCCAGAAAGGTTCGCACTCTGCCCAGGTCCGAGTGGGCAGGGGGGTCCCAGAAGTCCTGAGGGTGGTCCCGCAGCCAGGAGCCCAGCACAGACACCACAGCCCTGGCCAGAGGGGCAAGGACTCAGAGGCCAGCTGGGAGCTCTGCAGCCCCCACACCTCAGATCCGTCCTTTGACCTCTAGGACCTTCCACAGCTACCCACGTGGGAAACCAACCTCAGGTTCTTGTTGAAGCTCAGATCTTGTCCCTCTGTCTTCTTGATCGCTACCCTGGAAGGAGCCCCCCAGTCAGGTGAAGAAGGGTGTCGGGAAGAGGGGGGGATGCTTAGGAGATGGGTTCTGAGGTGGAGGGATTTCCTGATTCTAAACCCGAGGGAGGGCCCAGTGAGGGTCTGGGGTGGGAACGTGGAGGTTTCGCCATCGGTACTGACCAGGGCGGCAGGGGCGGCGGAGGTGGTGGCAGGAGAAGGCCCAAAACCCGAGCGGTGGGCACGAAGGCCTGGTGGGTGGCCAGGAAGGCAGGGACGAAGCCCGGGTCCTGCTCACGGTCCACAGACACCAGCTCCCGCACCAGCCGCTCCAGGTGCGCCGCCCTCAACATCCGCACCTTGCTGGTGCGGTAATGGAGGAAGGTGCTGGCATGGGGGCCGGGGGCCTGCGAGGCAGAGGGGTGATGATGCCTCAGAGGAGTGGCCCCTGGAGCACCCCTTTTCCAGCCACACCCGTTGCTAGCAGGGTTCTTGCATCTGAGCCCGCCCACTCCTCGGAATCTGGCCCCTAGAGTTACCCTGCACCTCGCACAATGAGCTGGACACCGCTGGCCGCCCGGGCCCTGGCCGCTGCCCCGCCCCTAGGTTGCTCTCAGCTCTCCAGCT